TTCGTTTCGTTTCGTTTCGTTTCGGTTTCGTTTCCGTTGTCGTTTCGTTTCGTTGTCGTTTCGTTTTCGTTCGTTCTTTCTTCGTTTCGTTCGTTTTTCGTTTCGTTTCGTTTCGTTTCGTTCGTTTCGTTTCGTTTCTCTTTTCGTTTCGTTTCGTTTACGTTTCGTTTCGTTTCGTTTCGTTTCGTTCGTTTCGTTTCGTTTCGATTTCCGTTCGTTTCGTTTCGTTTCGTTTCGTTTCGTTTGGTTTCGTTTCGTTTCGCTTCGTTTCGTTCGTTCGTTTCGTTTCGTTTCGTTTCGGTTTCGTTCGTTCGTTTCGTTTCGTTTCGTTTCGTTCGTTTCCGTTTTCGTTTCGTTTCGTTTCGTTTCGTTTCGTTTCGTTTCGGGGTTTTCGTTCTTTTTCGTTTCGTTTTAACGTTTTCGTTTCGTTTCTTTCGTTTCGTTTCGTTCGTTTCGTTCGTTTCGTTGTCGTTTCGTTCGTTTCGTTTCGTTCGTTTCGTTTCGTTTCGTTTCGTTTCGTTTCGGTTTCCGTTTCGTTTCGTGTCGTTTCGGTTGTCGTTTCGTTTGCGTTTCGTTCGTTTCGTTTCCGTTTCGCTTTCGTTCGTTCGTTTCGTTTCGTTTGTTTCGTTTCGTTTCGTTTCGTTTCGTTATCGTTTCGTTTCGTTTCGTTTCGTTTCGTTTCGTTTCGTTTCGTTTCGTTTCGTTTTCGTTTCGTTCTTCGTTTCGTTTCGTTTCGTTCGTTTTCGTTTCGTTTCGTTCTCGTTTCGTTTCCGTTTCGTTTTCGTTTCGTTTCCGTTCGTTTCGTTTCGTTTCTTGCGTTCGTTTCGTTTCGTTTCGTTTCGTTTCGTTCGTTTCGTTTCGTTTCGTTTCGTTTCGTTTCGTTTCGTTTCGTTCGGTTCGTTTCGTTTTTCGTTTCTTTCGTTGTTTCGTTTTCGTTTCGTTTCGTTTCGTTTCGTTTCTTTCGTTTCGTGTTTTCGTTTCGTTCCGTTTCGTTTTCGTTTCGTTTCGTTTCGTTTCGTTTTCGTTCGTTTCGTTTCGTTTCGTTTCGTTTCGTTTCGTTTCGTTCGTCGTCTTCGTTTCGCTTTCGTTCGTTTCGTTCGTTTCGTTTCGTTTCGTTTCGTTTCGTTTCGTTTCGTTTCGTTCGTTTCGTTTCGTTTCGTTTCGTCTTCGTTTCGTTCGTTCGTTCGTTTCTTTTCGTTTCGTTTCGTTTCGTTTCGTTGTTTCGTTCGTTTTCGTTTCGTTTCGTTTCGTTTCGTTCGTTTCGTTTCGTTTCGTTCGTTTCGTTTCGTTTCGTTTCGTTTCCGTTTCGTTTCGTTTCGTTTCGTTCGCGTTTTCGTTTCGTTTCGTTTCGTTTCGTTCGTGTCGTTTCGTTTCGTTTCGTTTCGTTTCGTTGCGTTTCGTTTCGTTTCGCTTCTTTCGTTTCGTTCGTTTCGTTTCGTTCGTTTCGTTCGTTTCGTTTCGTTTCGTTTCGTTTCGTTTCTTCGTTCGTTCGTTTTCGTTCGTTCGTTTTCGTTCGTTTCGTTCGTGTCGTTTCGTTTCGTTCCGTTTCGTTTCGTTTCCCGTTTCGTTCGTTCGTTTCGTTTCGGTTCGTTCGTTTCGTTTCGTTTCGTTTCGTTTCGTTTCGTTTCGTTTCGTTTCGTTTCGTTTCGTTTCGTTTTGTTTTGTTTATTTCATTTATTCAGCAATCGCATCGACTGCTGGGTCATTAGCGATTTTAGGTACATTTTACTGTTACATATTGCATTTGTGTTTTACAATATGTTACTTATGTATAGATAGCTTTATTTTAATGTTATATACAGTTTACTTCTTGACATATTAATCTTGAAAAGGATTTACTAGTATTTCTTATATAGAGTTTAGCACGCCAATTCGTTTTAAAAATGTCGTATCATCGTACACACTTTCAATATTGTCCAAATCGTTTTTGATGTTCTCAGGCAATCCAGTTCTTTCACATTGGTAATCTTTACACTCTGTATGTTTAAATTAGAGATTGCACTTCCACATTTAGGTCATGTTCACTGGTGTTTTTTGACATGAAATGAGAGTAGTGTCAAGTTGGAGCGACCTATTCTTAGGGCCGGTTGCATAAACGTTCGATATGGGATCCATAAGCTTATTGGTTCCATAAAATAGTAAATAATAATAATAATAATAATAATAATAATAATAATAATAATAATAATAATAATAATAATAATAATAATAATATTTATTGAGTCACATATACAATTACAATCGTGTATGACGAGTCAATATGATGCTTTGGGTGGAGAGAGCGAAGTTACATTACTGTTCAGGAGCAAACAAGGGGCCATCTCAGCATTTGCTCAAAGGACCAGGGAAACTGAACAAAACGATCGAGATGGGGTCATTGGCCTAGAAATACAATACTACATAACGGCAAAACGTGTTTCTAGAACAACCAATCAGACTTATAGAACCTTTAAGGCTTTCTATAACTTATTGGTCCTGTAACGTGTCTACAAATGCTTATGGATTCTACAAAGTGCAACATGGCGGTTCTGCGCACTGCTACAGCTGTTTGTTTGTTATTGCTATTACCTTGCGTCCGCGTGTTGTGTTGAATATCAGTGAATTCTATATTCGTACATTATTTTTGCATGTATTGTGACGAAAAGCATTAAATTTGATTATGAAAATATGTTAATTTTTGCTATAATATTTTGTCTTCTTTCTTTTTTGAATTCTTTTTCACCAAGCACCAATACCAACTTCCATCCAATGCTTACGTGTGGCATCCAACCTCTTTTGAGACATTGTTGTATTTTTTAATACATGATACAATAAAGCCAGATTGTACATTGTACTGGTGAATAACCGAGTGCAATCAATGAAAATAATAGTTCTTCAATTACACTATAATTCAAAGATTCGTAAAAGAATAATTTAGCTCACACTTAACCCTACGTAGAATCATAAGTGAATTTAATTTGCAGTCATCATGCTGAAATTTGGTTTGTCATAAAGAATAATTTTCAGTTGTGAAACGATTTCATTCCAATAAATAGATAACCAATGAAGATAACAAAATTTGTTGATGAACCACAGATGAAAATGTTTCCCTGTAAGTGCTAGTATTAATATTAGTATTACATATAAAATTTGAATAATTTAAATGACTACCCTCTGATTAATTTTTTTTACTCATGATATATTTTAGTGCATTATTGCTTGCCTGTATTTAGCACATTAAATGCCTTAACTTCAGGGCTCTACTTGTATTCATATGTACTACTTAATTGTTTTCATCGCAAATTAATTATTACTTTGTATTTCAAAGATATTTGAATAGTAGTTCATTATGAATTTTAATTTTTTGTTAATTGTATCAGCAAAAATGAAAAATAAATTAATCTTAAATTAAATTTAAGAATGGAAGGTAAATTAATGTAAATACAAATAGGAAATGGCTAATATAAAGAATTAGTTTATTTAAAATACTATAAGAATGAAACAAAAAATAAACTAAATTGAAAATAATGAAATAAAAGGAAATTGCTACTAAGAACGCAATAAGAAACACAACCAAAAACACCTTAATAGAACGCAATAAGAAAGTGCAAGACTCTGTAAGGAATGAGTGTTCAAATATCGAGTGAGGCTATCTATTGGTTGCATCTCGAAGTTCGTATAAAATCTATAGTTATGGTTTCCATAAATTTGCTTTATGCAACGGTGCACGGCCTATGGAACCTATAAATTTTATTGAACCCATAGCTACGGAACCCATGTAGAAAGCTTTATGCAACTGGTCAATATGCATTAAATCCTCCTGTTCTTGATGTATGGTTGATGCTCCCAAACTTTGGAGTAATCCTCCATTAACTCTGTCATATCCATCACGTCTCGTCGTAGTCAGTTGTCAAGAGGACCACCAAGTAACATTTTCGCGATCGCGCCACTGCGTCACTACACTGCCAGGATTGGGAAGATTAGGATTGGGTATAGTTTAGGACACTAGCCTAACTAGGGACACTAGGGGTAGGAGTAGTCCCTGAGAAGTATCCAAACTCGTTTTGTCGTAACAACCATGAGTTTCACCTTGAGTTTTACCAGATGTTCAATGTTTATTATTTGTATCATAAAATAAAAACATAGGTGTATTTCTATCAACTTAGGATCAAACAAATTGTTTTCCTGAAGGTTTTGATGAACTGACATTCCATGTCGATTAGGTGATCTTCACGTATTCCTCCACACAAGTGTTGATGTCTTCAATTGAACTTTTTGCATTTCTTATGACAGTTTATTCATTATATTTTACAACTTCATAGTGGCTGTAATTTGCTAAGAAATAAATATAATTTAGTTTCCTAGTTCATACTTATTCGTATAAAAACCAAACCAAGTTTAGGTAGCACTAAAGTGGTGCGAAACTTCAACTACGCATGAGCTCGATGGTGCTTTAACGGTCGAGGTGGCACGAACTCCCTTATATACACGCACTTTTCTGGAGCCCTCTATAGATGATACTATACAATATTATTTTTTAAATAGTTACTTCTAACAATTTTGTCAAAAATATTGTAATAATATATATTGTAAATTTGTTACAAATATTGTAACAAAGAAAGCTCTAGGCCT